AAAAGATTGGGATGAGGGAGTACCTTTGCTTTTATTTGCAATTCGGGATACCGTGCAGGAATCCACTGGGTTCAGCCCAGCTGAACTTGTTTTTGTGGCTGTGGATTCTCTGAGCATTTGCACAATTTGCCGCTCTGATGGCCATCACATCACATCATCACATCTTCTTGCTTTATAAGGCACCATCTCCCATGAAAGGGGCACCCTAATTGGTGCTAAATCGTGCGATAGGCAGCTAATAGTGGCATTTTCACCATTCCATAGGGAAATTTAGTGACGGTTTTTCAGAAATGGGGGCACTAGGGCAGCGACTGCCCCCCCATTCCCCCTCTGAGTCCACCAGTGGCCTGTGCTGCTCACTTGTTTTAATGTTGCTGTCAGTACTATTAACAATGTGTAGGTTATATACGTGTCTGTGTCTTAACATATTTCCTTGTTCCAGGTTGAACAGCTGTAATCTGACAGAGACATGCTGTGACACATTGGCTTTAACTCTCAAATCAAACTCCTCCTCCCTGAGAGAGCTGGACCTGAGTAACGGGATCAAATTACATTTCACTTCTGGTATCGTTCCTCTGTGTTGTCTGTGTCACTCAGTCGCTGTGTCTTTTTCGGCTTTGCTTGGCGGATTGACTGTGGTGGGGAAAGTCTGTGTAATCGGGATTAGTATGGCTACATTCGACCTACTCGAGTTTACTCTGAACCCCACAAAGGAGCAATTTGATGCTTGCAGGAAGTCAGACTTGGTAGCCATTGCGGGATTCTTTAATGTGGTGGTCCCTGTCGGTGCATCAAAGCAGGAGATTAAGCAGGTCCTGCAGGACGAGTTGGTCACGCAGGGAATCCTGCCGGAGCCTGGTGATCTCTCGGGTGTTGCACCTTGCCCAGCCCGGTCGCCTACGACGGCGGAAGCCGGAGGCCCGGAGTCTCGGCCTCACATGATTCCCAGGGATCCCGGCTCGTCTAAGGAGGACCTCCTCCTTACAATTCAACTTAGGGAAACCGAGCTGGAGATTAAGAGGCAGGACTGCCAGGCCCAACTCCTACGAATCAGGGCTTTGGAGATGGAAGCAGAGCGGGACGCTGCCGTGCAAAGGGCGAGGGTAGGCCAGCCACAGCCTGTTCCTCCGCCGCGAAAGGTAAGCTCGCCCCTTGAAGCTGCTCGCTCCACCGCTCGTGCCGGTGTAGGCTCGCCGGACGAGAACATGCGTCCTTGTACTCAATCTCCGCTGGTTCTAACTCAATCCCCTGAGAGGGAGAACACTGGCTTCGATGTGAGTCACCATATTGGACTCGTGCCCATATTTAGGGAGAATGAAGTAGATGCCTATTTCCCCATCTTTGAGCGCATCGTGACCACTCTGAATTGGCCCAGGGACCTTTGGTCGCTTCTGCTTCAGTGTAAACTCGTGGGGAAAGCTCAAGAGGTTTATTCGGCTCTTGGTTTGGTACAGAGACTTGATTATGATGTTGTGAAGGCTACTGTCTTGAGGGCTTATGAATTAGTGCCCGAAGCTTACCAGCAAAACTTCCGGAAACTTTGTAAATCCGCCAAGCAAACCCACGTGGAATTCGCTCGGGAGAAGTCCCTCCTCTTTGATAAATGGTGTACCGCTAGTGGTGTGACTAACTTTGATCAGCTTAAAGAGCTGCTTTTGTTAGAGGAGTTTAAAAACTGTGTACCTGATCGTGTTGTTATATATCTGAATGAACAGAAGGTGACGTCTCTTGCGGAAGCCGCTACCCTCGCCGATGAATTTGTGTTAACCCATCGAACCGTGTTTGTCCCTACTCCTTTGTCTCGTAAGCTCCATCCCAGATCAGTGCTGCCTCCTGAGAAGGCTGCTACGACAACCCCACCAGTAGAAACAAGGGAATGCTTCTATTGTCATAAAGTTGGTCATCTCATTTCTGTCTGCCCTGCGAATCGGCGCAAGAATGCTCGTTTGGCGGTTAAGAAGGTACATGTTGCCGATTGTGTTATTCATGTCTCACCGCCAACCCACTCTGTCGAACCCGCCTTCCAACCATTTGTGTTTTCTGGTTTTGTTTCACTCGATGATTCTGATGTAAAGTGCCCCGTAACCATTTT